CGAACACAGATGAATTTTTGATGAGTAAGTCAAAGCACCGGCGAAGCTGGCTTTTCACATAGAGAAACTTCTTTAATTCACAGAACATTTTCAGGCCTAGATCATTAACACTGCCAGAGCTAATAATAATTAACATGCTAAAATCCATGCGATAAACTGGAGATTTTACCGGTGTAGTTGGTAGCAACTGTAGTGTCAGCATGAACTGATTTTTCTGAGAACAAAGTAAAATGTGATTCAAAAATAATAGTGGAGTTTTAAAATTAATTTTAGAGAAATATGTATTATTTATTATATGACTCTTCTAATCAATAATGCATTTGTTGAATATAATGACAATTATTCTTCTGAATAATAGTTGTATCACCACATTAAAGTTACAGATTATACCTCTAAGAGTGGGCAAAGTCCTTTAAAGATGCTGTTAAATTGTCACAAACTCCTGGGCAAAAATCTGGAGCAGGGTTTATAGTGCCTGCTCTTGATAATTAATGGCAAAGGCATCTGCTAAATCACTGCGAGGAAGAATTTTAAGATATCCATGTGCAGTAGAGTAGGGAGGAACTCCACTAAATAATTAGGCTCAGTCATATATCTCAAGTCCAGTTATGAAATCCCCAAAGTCAAGTTTTTAGAGAGAATGAGAACTGAGTTGCTGTTAGAAATGTGTTCCTTCATTTAATACAGATTTATTTGACACTAGCTGTAAAGACTGCCATCATTCAAGGAGGTTCAGGATGATAAAAGATAAAAACCCTACTCTCCAGAATTACTGGATATTTTTATTTTTGAGATAAAATTAATATTTTAAACTTCCTGTTTAATCGGTATTACTGATGAAAGCCAGTCGAGTTCACGCTGCCCTAAGTAACCATGTGTGCAAGATCAAAGTACTCGGAAGAATAATTCTGTGAGCACATTTGTTATTAATTGCTAATCACTAAGCGAAGATGACTTTCAAAATGCCAGCTTCTTGTTCCCTGCTTCTCCTTCCCACTGTGGCTTGGTGGATCCAAAAGTACGGAGTAACTTGGATGTTCAAAGTGGGAGTAGCTTTGCATAATAGCTCCTTAGTTCAGTATAACAAAGTAAAATCAGTCACAAGGATCTAGGTTCTCCAATTATTGGTACTACCCATGATCATTTTATAATTTTATGCAAACTATATGATAATATAACAGGAGACCTCAGACATGACTTTGCTAGAGAATAGGAATGTTCAGGCCTAATTCTTGGCCAGTTTGCTCCTTATTCCCCTTTTTTTTTTCCTCCAACACTCAAATCCTTTGGGTTTTCTACTTATTACGTACATAATTTCTTAATGGTTGGTGTTTTTGTGCTTTGTGTTCAGTTCCACCTTTTACTATCTTTTTTTTTTTTTGTAAAAGTTACACATTAATCATTATCTAAAGTGTTTCTTTTACCAGCATGGAGTTTTTCTTCAAAGATCTGATAGGAATTCTTTAAAAGTGAACTTTCTTTTTCCTATTTAAGTTTCACTTCAACAAGTTCACTGATTTTAGATTTCTCTGACAAACATAGTGGAGGTATCAAAACCCAGACATGTTGAAAATAGCTTTTTCTTGAAGCCATTTAGAATCTGAGACTTTCTGCCCTGCTATGTGAAATTGCCCAGCTTGGGAATAAGATGGGTATGTGCGCATGGCTGTGTTAGAGAGGTGGTAGGAAGTGGGGACAGGGCAGGGGGAATGGTAAGTAATCTATAAGTGAACTCAGAATGTCTTCTGAAACGGATATGTATACGCTCTCCTATTTCCCCAACTGTCACAGACACTTCTATCTCAATGTTTGTAATAAATCAATGATGGTTTTTCTCTGTTGTTTTGGTTAGATATCTCCTTTCAAAAATCATTTTCCTGGAAGATAAATGTAGTGTTCTTTTTGTTTCCTTTTTTGATAAAGAATACAGTGTGCAAGTGGTATACTTAAAAATCATTTTCATTTTCTCCTATGGATCTCTCTCTTAGAAAAATAGAATTCTCTCATTTTAAATAGTATTTGTTGGATCACGGAAGTTTAGAAATTGGTAGTGGCCCTAGCTATTATCTTTTTTAAAAAAGACTTTACTTTATAGATAAAGAAAATGAAGTTGTTATTCCTCCCATTGAGAAGGGGCATCTCATGCCCGCACCTGCCACCCCCTCCTAGTGTTTGGGCAGGCTCTGTGATTGCTTTGACCAATAAAACCCAGAGGAACCCTGTCAATTTCTGTCCCAGGCCTTAAAAGAATGGCAGCTTCTACTTTCTGGGTCTGGCATGCTCTTAGGACTTCTCATCTCAGAACCAGGTATTGGTGCTCCACTCGCCACCCACAGCTAAGCTCCCAGAGGACAGATAACAGCACAGCTAAGCTCCCAGAGGACAGATAACAGCACTTTCAGTTACGGGAATGTGCCATCTTGTATGTCTAGCCTAGTCAAACCTTTGGGGAGAGAGAGGGGGAGGAGAGAGGGAGAGAGAGAGAGAGAGAGAGGGAGAGAGGAAGAAGAGAAAGAGAGAGAGAGAGAGACAGAGAGACAGAGAGACAGAAGGAGAGAAGAGAAATATCAAAGGGTTGCCTCCTGTAGGTGCCTGAACTGAGAATCTACCCCACAATATAGGTAAGTGCCCTGATCTAGAATCGAACCCACGACATTTTGGTGTATGGGACGATGCTCCAACCAACTGAACCACCTAGCTAGGGCACCAGCCAATATTTAATAGCAATCACATGAGAGACTCTAAGTGAGAATAGCCCAGCTCTGCCCAGTCAACTCACAGATCAGTGCGAGAATGAATAATACACTAAGTTTGGGGATGATCTGTTTGGTAGTAAAAGCTAAGTGGAACTGAAAATGAAACTTAGACCAGCTTCTAAATAGAAGCAGGAGACTCCAATTCTAGCATAATCTTAAAAAGTGTTAAGGGGACATGCAGAGTTAAAGCAGACTCATTCTCAGTCTCTTAGTAGCTCAAAATTCCAAAATCTTTTCTTTCAATAATTGCATAAAACACATAATTTTCAAAACTCTTAAACATTTAAAGCAGACACTAAAAGCTCTGCCTACATAACAAAAGACCGTTACTAGGTAATAGAATAAGGTAGCATTATCAAAAGTTCCTTGAAAGCATTAACTTAGTAATAAGTGAATGAAATAAAGAGTTCCTTAGGTAAACTGATTTGGGGAAATCCTGACACATTAGAGATGTCTCTTGAACTGTAGATTTTTCAGAAATGTAAAATATCCAAGAGAGTAAACTTTCTTTCCCCAAATTATATGATCAAGGAGTCCTTCTTCACTGAGCACCTCATGAGATTTCTATTTCATAGAAACACTAAACTAAGAAATAGAAATAGGGATGCAACTTTATTAGCAGAAACTAACTTTTACTTTCAGAATATTTCACCAAAAAGTTGCTTTTATGCCCTCATCTTGGAGAACACATTTTTAGTCAAAACTTTTACAAATCTTCGGGGGCTACCCTCAGTTGGGTCCCTTTCACCAACTGCTCCCTCTGTGCTGCTCTCTTACTTTGAACACTTTCCTGTTGAAATAGTTAATACATATTGGAGGAATAAAGATGAGAAGGAATAAAAATAAAAGTAGGTAAATGAGAAATAAATGAACTAATTAGTTAAAAATTGCAAACCTGGAAATCAACTCTGACTCTAATTAACTTGGTTTGGATTTTGTACCTTTATTTCCATATAAGGCCAAGGGGAATTGTAACCTTGCCCTGCCTCATGGAATTCTTGGCAAGTTCAAAGGACATGTCAAAGTTGAAGGTGGGGAAGATTTAGGTCTGATGTGTTCTTAGCAATCATCTATTTATCAACTCCTTGCATTTTTGAGATGTGAAGGCTGGGATTCAGAGAACTTATAGTACAAGTGCTAGCCACATTAGAAACTCCCTTTCCAGTGGACCCACATTAAAGAGGTTGGTAAAGCCCTCTATATTAGTACATGCTATATCGAAAGCTGTGATTCTAATCCAGATGGTGACTATTTCTAACACAAGGTTTACAAGCAATTTGGGCCCCCAAACACATATTACACCAGTGTTCATAGCCAGTTTAGGAAGGTATGACAGTCTAAAACTTCAATAACCAGTATTACATGGGCAATGACAATGACAATAGACACTAGCCTTCACAATTGGTACAGTCGTACTGATGGGCACCAGCAGTATATCTGTCTGGTATACGGATATGGTCAATCACATTTATTCCCTCCTGCCACTGGTTCCCAGCCCTGTGAAGACTGTCACATTACTGGGTGCTGCAAATTCTTCCAGTCAGGCTCTTTCTTATACTGTGACTGCATTTTGATGCCCATAATACAATAGGTTCCATTATGTGTCTCCTGGGAATCACCCAGCCCTTCATGGTTCCTGGAACATATGCCACCCTGTCTCCCAAATCATGGAGCATTTCAATGTTTTCACTTTATAAGTAGGAGGAAATTAAGTTTTATCATCTCCTCTTGCCCCAACTAAGACATGGACCAGTCCACTAAACAATACTTAATTACTCTGGAACCCTCTACCTCTATATATCCTACGTTCTTATTCTATAGTCACATTATAGAGTGGAATATTACTTGAAAGGCTGAAGGAGTAATACAGCCATAAAAATATGGTAGAAAAAATTAGCATGAGATAGAATATTTGATACTTTTAAGTTATAATGGAAAAATATTTGTAAGGATAGAACAAAGTATCTGCATTTAATCAGCTTATTTGTGTAGCTCTGAAAAAAAATAGTCATTTAAAAATATTGATTATAGTTTCATAGCTCTTTCTAAATAAATTGCTCATTTTCCCAGCCAATGGGGAATGGTTTATACAGTTTGACATATATACCTCTATATTACCTTGGCCCAACTCTGCTTCATTGGTAATAAGTTCTTAGATGTTATTTAAGTATAATTTGATTGTAAATGGGGAATGAAGGCCTCATTCTCCCATATGTAGAATAGTTAAAATTCTAGCACACTTACTTCTACAAGCCTGTTGGTGTGTTCACGAAATATCGCAGCATATTCTTTTATTTCCTTTTCTCGACCATTCTTGGCAGCTTCGATGAGAACCAAAAGTGGGACTGTCGTATCCAGAAAGGAGTCTGACACATGATCTATAATAGCCTTACGGAGCTGAGAAGAAAAAGAAAATTCATTTTTTTTAAAAAATTAGGAAATAGTTCAAGTTATTTTGTAGTTTTACAATCTCAGTAGCTACAAAATTTTATATATTTTTTGCACAATCCCAAAAGTCATATTTATGACTGTGTATGTATGTATGTCACTTACAAAGCTAAAACAAGCCATATATTGAAGAAAATATCATCGAGCAATAGCTCTCTTGTTCGCAAAAGTCACTAATTTTTTCTTTAATTGTATTTACCCCAGAAGTCAGATTATAAGTGATAATACTTCATTTTTTCCTTCAAGAAATTGATCTATTATAATGTTTATGCACATGTACAAACAACATTGTACATCATGTATTTTCATAATTACAAAATTATGAAATGTTTTCTACCTTGTTGGAGGAACTGATAAATTTTGATTAGCTAAATTGTAGACTTCATGGTAATTAAACCAAGTTAGATCACTGATTATGCCAGTTGATAATAGATTAATAGAGCAAAGAGAATAATAAATGAGTGTGATGTCCAATTTTCTTCATTTGCATTAATTGTTCTTGCCCTCACACCTTAAATTATTAAACAAGTGTAACATTCTACTACAATTAGTTCCTTTAAATTAGATTATGTATAAGCTTATAAATGACAATCAGGCAATTACTCTACTCAGCAGATAGTTCCAGGAATTTAAAACTGCATTAGAAAATTAATAAATGGAATCTATATAATATTGAAGCCTTAAGGATCACAATATCATGAAATGTTTCATTAACAATTTCAATGACTATGAATGCCCCAGAGTTTTTTGATCACCTCCTCATTTACATTAATAATCTCTATACAATAAAATATAGAAGTGAATTCCTATTAAACAGGAAATTTGTAATTTGCCTTTTGTGAAAATTATATTTTAGGTTTTTTTTTAAAAACCAATAGACACTTAACCTAGTTTTGGATTACATGAGATATAATAATACACTTTAAAGGGGTTGAATGATGTAGCTACATAAAAAAGAGTACATTCTCTCTTTCATTTAGAAAAATGAATCCATAATAATTATAGATTTCTGAGAGAAAAATACCTCTGCCTAAGATAGTTGAACTTGCTCAGAACTGTGAAATTTTCCGGCTACTAACAATTTCACAAAGGCTGTAGGAAAATTTCTATTTAGTATGCAGAAAGGCAAATCACTAATGACAACTAATTAATATTTACTGAGCACTTACTAGGACAGGGTGTAGAGTACTAAGGGTTTACAAGGCAAACAGTGTGAATGACCAATGTCTTTGACTTCCATAAAGAGTGAGCCGAGGAAGTCAGGCAAGAAATCGTAAGTTAGCACTTGAACTGGGAACTACGAGTAGTACTAGTTCTGGAGACATAAAAGTAGAAGGAATCTCTCAGAAGGGGAACTGTTTTAAGTAACAGTTTCTCCCCTTCATCCTTTTCTTCTTTCATTTGTAACCGGGACATATAGAAGGAGAGCAAAAGATCAGCACTATAGGCATGCAATTGAAAGCCATCAAACAGATGGGAGGCAATTTAAGCCAAGGAGGTGGACAGGATCATAGAGAGAGACACTCACAGAGAGAAGATGTTAGAAAATAAAATCCTAGGAAATCATAACATTTGCCAGGCCGGTGTAGTTCAGTGGTTAAGCGTCCACCTATGGACCAGGAGGGCACAAGTGGTTCAATTCCCGGTCAGGGCACGTGCCTGGGTTGCAGGCTTGATCCCCAGCAGGAGGCAGCCGATCAATGATTTTCTCTCGTCATTGATGTTTCTATCTTTCTCTCCCTCTCCCTTCCTCTCTGAAATCAATAAAAATATATTTTAAAAAAAGAAATAGTATCATTTATGGGAGTCATGCAGATGAAAACCTAAAAAAGAGCCTGCGATGATGAGAGCAAATGGCCAAACAACTAAAGGAGAAACTTTGAAAAAATGTATTGTTGACACTCTTGGAGATGTCCACAATCCTCAACCCCTTTACCCACCTCCACCCAGCCCCACCCCCTCCCTCTGGCCATCACCACACTGTTTGTGTCCATGGCCCAACCAAAGAACATATAAAGGAGAAACTTTCAAATAAATCTCTGTCAGTGCTCTTAAGATAAAGTTATTGTAGCAAACACAATTATAATACCCATACAATGAACTTGTTGAATCTTCTTTTCTATTTGATTCAATTCAACAGATATTCTGAATACCATTCTTTACATTTCTACCAAGAGCAAGGTTGTGAAAAATGTCAAGGTGGAACTGCATGTTTCTTTATAATCCAGTGGAAAAGTGAGTCATTAAATATTATAATAAAGGAAACTAACTAGGAGACTGGCAGCAAGGAGATTTCAAAAAGATAATAGGTTTCCAAATCTAATTTTAAAGATAAGTTAAATGAAAATAACCAAGACTTGTCTATTGGCTTGGACCACTAAGAGGTTCCTGCTGAAAACTTAGTGAGAGTCATCCTGGAAAAGTGGGAGCAGGAGTCCTTTTGCTATGATTTGAAGAATAAATGGGAGAAAAGGGTGCAGAGACAGTAAGAATAAACTTATTTTTAGTAATTTGGGACATGAAGAAGCAAGACTTGGTATGAACTATATCAAGACAGTTTTAAAGAGGGATTGTTTCTCATATAAAAGACTTTGATGTTTTTCCCATCTACAACTCTATGCAGAAAGTCAAATTGTCCTCTTGTACTTTAAAAACAATACATTTTGATCTATCATCATACAAAAAATCTAGGGAGATGGAGAATAACAGTTGTCGCACATTGTGCCAATTTTTGTAAATACTTAAATAATTATAGCAATCTTCTTCCAGGGCTGCATACATTTGCTATGATCTGTTCCTCTCCCCTCTGTGATACTACCTTATGTCTTATCTTTATTTTAATGGTCTTTATTCCCTGTTCTTTTTTTTATTTTTTAAGGTTTTCAACTATATTTTCCCAGATACTAATCAATCATTTATTCCATACATAAGTGTTAAAATATATTACAAAGGTGAGGTTCAAGGTACAGCCGATTTACTCTTAATTACAGAATAAATAAATGAACTCTTTGGCGAAATTATTTTAAAAAGAAAACTAAACCAAATTAGAAGCAATTTTTTTTTGCATTTTGTAAGGCATGTTGCTAACTACAGAACACATTAAATGAGAAAAGGTGTACCACATATGAGTGGTATTATGTTCAGTAGGACAAGACTAGGACCGGAAAATGAGCTTCCAAATAAGTTCGATGCCAATGTCTTCAAAATTCTGTTGGAAAATAGGCTAAAATTACCTGACATAATATAATGTCAAATATAATGAGCACAATAAATCTTCTGTTCTGTAATTGTACATTCATTCAAATTAACAAATGCATTTTGAGCTGCCTAAGGGCAAGGCACCCTTCTAGGCAACCTGAGGAATGTCAGAGCGAAAAAGACAGGAGTGAGAAATACACAAAGAGTTTGATAAGTATCTTTAAAAAAAGGAATGAGAAAATTTACACTGACTGTCATGGTGAACATGGCTTTAGCAAGAATGAAATATATGTATTCCATTTTAAAAGCTGAATAGGAAGTAGGAAGTATAACATTCTAGGAATAGAGACTATAAAAAGCAAAGAAAATAGAAGGATCCTCAGGATATCACAAGTACCTAGTGTTACTAGGACACGGTGGTAGATTGAGAACTGAAATAAGATTTTAGTGAGTACAATGAAGATAATGGAAAGAATTTTAGGCAAAAATAACAAATTAAGACAAAAAGAATAAAATATAACAATAAAATGGACAGAAATTGGTGACTCGTGCTAGACAAGAATGATGCCTTTAGGAGGTAGCACACAGTTAGCAGGCAGGAAAATATCTTTTGTTTTGAGAGCATCTTAAGCCATGCAAACAATAAACAGCACAATTAATGCAACCAAACCACAATTTTCTCACTGTATTGTCTATCTTGCTGATTCCTGATCATTTATCATCACATTCATAGCTATGATTATGGACTACATGAGAGACGCTTGCTGCTTTACATCTCATGCTCTGCACCTGTCTCTGATTTCAGCTCTTGCTGTGGGGAACAGAACCAAGTCCTCTGAAGACATCCCACCTTGATGCATTCCATGCTTCTCTGTTATTCTTTCTCGGGGCCTGCTCCAAGCCTCTGTAAGATTCTCAGCCCAAGTACAAATGGGCTGGAAGTTCTGAGGAGTCAACACCACTGGGAGCAACCTTCAACCAATTGGGAAGGGAGCTGCTGGATAAAACCCCAGCCTCCCTCCATTGGCCAGGCAATGCTGGAAGGCATTATATGCCTTCTCAGTGGTCCTTAAGCTCCTGCTGCCTATAGTGGCAACCTCAATAGCATATCCTTTCCTCCTTCCCTGCCTGTTCTCTTACCCTTCATGGTCTCGTACAATTGCTTCTTGGTTCCGCTTCCCAAATAAACTGCCTGTAGTAAGGCCCCAGTCTCAGGATCTGCTTTCTGAAGACGTCAATATAAAATTGACATGTTTATCTGGTGTTAATGTTGTTTGGTTACGTACCAAGTAACAGACTCTAATGTTTTACATAAACTACCCATTGACAATCACACTTTGCCACTTCTGCTTTGCACACCACTGGGTTTGATTCTGCCCTTGGATTATGGTGACTATGAAAGAGGCATGATTATAAGATGGAACTAGAAACACATATAGGGACAAGACAAGAAGGCCTTGAATGCTATGCTAAATAATTTTCTTTTATGTTCTAACATGTTCATATGGGATATTTGTCACTTAAATTATACTGTCATTTATATCTATATAAATACCTAAGCAGGCTCTATCTTATTTATTTCCATATTAGTTTGCTGTCCAAAGGAATAACTCATTCCTTTCACTTAGGTGATAGACAAAAACTTTAAAGAAGCCAACATGCCAATGTAGAAATGAGAAAACCTTAGAAGCTGCAAAACTAAAATTTGAAGTTAGTGGGAGGACAACAGGAGTTAAAGGTATATGTATTTT